AAAAGAATCGATTCGAATAGCTCTATTAAGCCAACGATACCTGTCCGCAATTCTAATTGAGATGAAATTAATGCGTGGAGGGTTAATCGATTGCTGAATTTCAAATTCAATGCGGATAAGAAACACTTAAACAATTTATTAACAAAATCGCATTATTCCAACGCTACCACCACTCAGTATTTTACGACTTCCACTGACCAATTTAAAAACAAATCTGCTGCTATTTGAACGTCACACAACTGCTGCCGCCGTTGTGGCTCAATGCTCAAGAAACAAATGAAAATGAATTATGGTTTCGATTTAAATAAATTAAACATTAATAAAATTTATTAAGGCAAGTTAACAACGGGCTATAAACCATGGCTAAACTAGCCATGCATTTCAATTTTGGCCATGCCAAGAAATCTATTTTGACAATTGGACTTGGAAAAATCTAATTAATGGCCAATTAAAGTCAAACAAACAACAACAAAGTTAACCACACACACGCAAATATAATTTAATTTTGGTAGACTGCAAAAAATAAACAAACAAAAACAACACACAAACAATTAGAAATAAAAGCTCAAGGTTAATTGAAGACAATCCATCAATTGACAGACAAAAATTGACAAAATGTGTATGACAATCACAAGAAAGAGTGAGAGAGCGAACAAAAACTTCCATATTTAGATGCAAAGTTATTATCGACATTGTTGTTGTTGTTCTTATATTTTTTATTCTTAATTAAAGCGAAAAAACTGTACATTTATTAAATGAGTTGTTATATGTATTGCCAGCAGCCAACGGCCCCGAGAGGGAGGGTATTAGGGAGGCATTGTTGATATGAACGACAATATGGCAACATAACAGCTAACTGTCTGTCTTTCTCAGAGAAGAAGTCAAGTTAATTGACTCATCATTAATCCTCCCTCCCAATAGAACGAATGAAGTAACACAAACGAAACGAATCGAAACCAAACGAAACCACCAACAAACAAACAAAGAAACCGAAAAGTATAATAATAACAACAACAACAAATACAACATAAAAAACAGCAACCCAAAGCAACCAAGAGAACAGACAGATGTGTATTTGTGAGCATTGCCCTGCTTTGCTTTGGGAGACATTTAATTTTGTGTACCTTTGTGAGAGAAAGAGACAGACGCTACAATGTTTCAAAAGGGAGTTATAACTCCGCCCTTTGATGATTATTAGTTGTTCTCTTCTTCTATTACGATTTATATTTAATAAACATGATTCAATCGAGCCTTGTTTTGGTTGATTGTAGTTTATTAACGAAATAAACGTAAAATGATGTTTTGATATTTGATAAAGGGCAATTGTTTTTAGCGTCTATTGGAACAATATGTAGTTAATGAAAATAATGCAGTGGACGCTCCAAAAATGGGGTTTCAAAGTAAAATATGTGATTTAAAAGCTTTAAGCTTAGCAAAACCAAAGTAACCGGAAATGTTTTTCGTTAGAATCAGGGATGGGTAATTTTAATTACAGAAAGTATAAAACAATAACCTTTACTTTTCAAGAGAAATGAGTTTAGACAAGACAGTATACAAGCGACAGGACAGTCGAAGACAATTGAGTTCATACAAAAATTGTTCATTAAAAATTGCCTTTGTGACATAGACATGTCGACCATTTGAGTATAAAATTTCGAATTCCTGAATGAAAATAATAATTTAATATCCTTTTTAATGGTATGATTTTTTGCCGTTTGTAAACACTAAAATAATTAACAATTGCTTATTATAACTTTTGGTCGTAGTAAAAAGTAGTATATTCTTGCAGGTTCTGGAACAGACATTTCTTTTTGTGTTGATCTACAGTCGAAATCGCTTAATGCTTAAATCGCATAATATGATAGCTAAATAAGTCGAACCCGCTTAAAAATATTCGAACCAATTAATTTATAATTGGTATGTTCCCGTACTGCAAGAATCTACTCGATTTTACTATTTTTTCGATATCATAAAGGAAAATTCCTTATCGTAGTAAAAAGTAGAAGATTCTTGCAGTACGGGAACAGCTTAATTAAAAAATTGGTTAATTGAAAACGAAATTACTTCCAAAAGGTCATGTTTCATTAAAAAACTCCGCTTAACAAAAAATATATTGGTGTTTCGTTTTGGCAACATTAATTTTACATGGAAACTAATTTCCGGAACATTGGATGATCAGAATCGGAAAAAAAATGCTGACCATTATGGACCAAAATAAAAAAGAGGAGCTGAACATCAAGTTTAAAGCTGTATTAAGATTGTGGATTTTCTTTGAAACAATTTCCAAAAAAAAAATTGATCCGAAATTGATGAAAGCTTTATATATTTTCCATATATTTTAATACCAGGTTTATTGAACTTCGGTGAAATGAAACATATATCAATTATCCGGACTTCGCATTATTGATAATTGAAAAACCTTCAATCCATTTCAATTAAGCGGATTTTACTGTAAATTCAACAGTTTTACATGCAGTGACATCTAGTGGTGGATAGATACAAATATTTCAGCAGTAATGCCAAGTTTTCAAACAACCGAGTAAAACTACTTGCCAATAGATGGCTGTAGTTCAGTCTTTATATAAATTTAATTAATATATTTCTAATAAATAATTTAATTTTTTTAATATTTCAATAGAATTTCTTCAATTTATAAAGATGAACAGTGGGTAAATACCCATAAATAAAGTAAATTACCTAAATAATTCTTACCGACTAATGGCATAAGCAGAATGGATCCGTTGCGCCATTCGTTTAGTTATTTGTTATCGATAATACAACATCCACAATGGGAACGATAACGCTTGAAGTCGATGTGCATTGTACTTGATAAATTTTAAGCTTTTGGAGTAGTTCATGTAATATGGCTTTTGATATTGGTTGATTTGATATTAATTTAAATATATGTTAACTATTTGTGTGCGTTAAAGCGATACGAAAAAACGCGCAAAATCTATTAACGTCAAAACTAGATTTTTATCTATAAATGGTTCTCAACATATTAAATCAAATTTTGAAATGTGTCATTTTGTGGAAAACCTGTTTTGTAATAATAAACAAAGCTTTTATGAAAGAAAACGATCTTGAAAATTCGACTTTGTAATTTCTTCAAAGATCAAAAGTCGACTTTCGCTTTTCCAATACAAAAAGTCGATTAATCGATTAGTTGAAAGTCGACTTACAAATCCCTAATCATAATTTGCCTAAACCTCATTCGTAAACAACACGGTTTCCATTTAGTCTCTATCCCACCTCATTCGTAAACTTTCGGTTATACCATTTTGAGTTCATCTTTATCGGCCATTTTGTCTTCTCCTCCCATTCGTTAGCAGGTGGAACGTTTTTCAATTTTTTAAGTCGTCGTTTTTATTTTAGCTCCGTTCCAAAACCTGAAAGAATCTACTAATTTTACAAGTTTTGCAACATTTTACTCGAAAACCGTTCCTGAACCCATAAAACTGGTAAAGCATTGAATCAAATTTAAGAGAGCACAAAACAAAATGGCTTTCTCTTTGTAAACTTTTTGTTATGTTGATTTTGAAGTATTGCCATCTAATTTTGGCATATTTACTAGATTTGCGTTCCCGAACTTTTCAAATTATTTTGTACTCTGAGACTTGAAATGTTTCCCTTTTACTAGCTTTACTATTAAACAAGTGAAAAAGCATTAAGTTTATAATTTTTATACCCTCCACCACAGGTATACTGACAGGTATTTGAAATGAAAAAGTGGACCGATATTTATAATTCGGTTGAAAATCGCGCTTAAGAACCTCAAAATACCGAAAATTTGGGATGCCCTTATATGGGGGCTACCAGAAAAAGTTGGCCGATATTTATAATTTTTAGTAGAGATATTTGGTACGCAATATGAACCCAATGTACAATATTGCAGCGAATTCGGTTGAAAAGCGCGCTCAAGAACCCCAAAATACCGAAATTGGGGGTACCCTTATATGGGGGATATCCGAAAAAATTGACCTATATTTAAATTTTTTTTTGTGGAGAGATTTGGTACCTGCTAAGAACTCAAAATACTAAATTACAGCCAATTCGGTGAAAAATACGATAAAAACCCAAAAAATACTGAAAATTAGGAGGTACCGTTATATGGGGGCTACAAGAAAAAGTGGACCTATATTTATAATTTTTTGTGGATACATTTACTACAAATTCGCTTGAAAAACGCGCTCAATAACCCCAAAATACCGAAAATTATAGGGTCGGAAATGAATATTTCGATGAGTTACAAACGGAATGACAAAATTAATATACCCTCCATACTATGGTGGAGGGTATAAAAAGTATTGGAACAGACCATTTGTTGGCGAAGGTTTGCGTACGACGTCGCTTGAATCTTGGCAGAACGACGATTAACAAGCGAATTTTATGAAGGCTGGAGTCTTGGAGGCTTCCCACTGTTTTTTTGAATCTCTCTCTCTCTCTTTCATTATTCTTTTTTTCGTTTTTCCATATATAGTTCCTTTGCTCCATATAGTTCCTTTGCTCTTTATAGTTCCTATGCTCCAAATAGTTCCTTTGCTCCATATAGTTCCTTTGCTCTTTATAGTTCCTTTGCTCCATACAGTTCCTTTGCTTCAAATAGTTCAAAAAAGGAACTGGATCAGAGAAAGGAATTATATTAATTAAAGAACTGGAATTAGTTCCGTTCGTTCCTTTCTCGGAATAGTTCCGGAACTACCCAACTCTAGTCGACTTACAAATCCCTAAACTTTAGTATCGAGAAAATAGAATTTTGCGAAACAACAAAACATTTGCAGAATATTTAAATATTTTAAACAAATTGTTTTTCGCCCAAAATTCAACAAGTTGTATACGAAAATAAGCCCACTTGCCATCATTTCCCCGAATTAGTTAATCAGTAACATTTTGCAGTATTTCCATTGATATTTCCGTTTGCCGACATTACGCCCGAGGACCTAACAAAACATCAACCAACACCTCTCTTAACAAGTGGGAAGTACTCGGCCGCCGCCAGTAATTAGACAAATATGTCTAAGAATAAATTGAATCTGACACTGCCACCGGTCGATGCCTCCGATGCATCGCAGGCCTCATCACCATTCAAAACTCCATCTGGAACAGAGTAAATATGAATCACTATTTTATTTGTTATATTTTTGTTGTTCTTTTTTTGTTGTATTTTTTTATTCTTTTGATGATTAACATCATAAATGCTTTTACTCACTCACCTCTAGCCTCTGTATGAGAGTACAAACATACTTCTTCCTGTTGTACATACATACAAATATACAAATCACTAACAACACAATCATCGGAGTCACGGTGGAATATGCTATGCCGGTATAGCATGATGGAAAACGTTGATTCGGCTTAGAAGTTTCCAGAGGGACAGTAGATTTTGTTTTGTTGTAAAATGCCTACATTGTGTTGTTGTTTCCAAACAACAGCCAAGTCAAATCAAACATCTTAAAACATGCATATATTATTAATCATAACTGCATCTAGAAAGGGCGAATTAAAATAATATCAAAAATTGTAAATGCCATAAGTCACTTGACAGTTCTATAAATACCACTTAATATTCAAAATAGCTAAACTATGAAAATGATGTCATCCTTCCATCTTTTTCTTTTATGTAATTTCAAGAATAAGATTATCATTAGAATATAGATTTTACAAACATTTGGATCTGATCGATCTACATAATGTATAACATTGTAAAACAATCTCCTTTCCCAATTCATCGTTTACTGGAATATATCTTATGGTTGGACAAAAACCGATTCAGTACATGCATAGGAATGTTCACCAAAAGTAGAATTTAGTGTCGCAATAGCAACTATATACATACATATATTTTCTTTTAGGAATTGTATACATTCCGTATGGACATCATATATCCTTACTCTTTTATAGGTACTAAATCAAGTTAAATCAATAGTTAAATAAATATCTGCCATGTATGAATTCAGTTCCCTGTAATTTTAATGTAGTCCATTTTCTAATTTGTTGTGTTTTGTTTCTTCCCCCTTCGAATAATAAACCACGTAGCTTTCCTAATGTCTTTGCTCGTGAATACCACCTGTCTCTCATCTTCGCATTTTAGTGGTCGTACAATTCGTTGTTTCCTTTTTTCTCCTATTATCTCGAACTGTCCCTATCATCTTCAATAGATTCTCAATCCTGTCAGCTGTTGTCGTCTACTATTTGTGAGACTATCTGTTGTTGTTTCCTCATTGTTTGCCTTGCATTTTTTTGTTTTTGTTGCACAAAAATTCATTTAAAAGTTAAATTAAAGAAAACATAGTTTGCTGGGCAAGCCGAAGACGAGTATCGAGGCTCTGACGGAAACTCTGGAGGAATTGGAAATGGACGATACGGAACGGAAACGCATCAAGGTCTTCCTCAGCCAAAAGGAAAAGATCGGTGAGCTGTCGGACGACGACTTGGAGAAGCTGGGAGAACTGGGTTCCGGCAATGGTGGTGTAGTCATGAAAGTCCGTCACATACCCACACAACTGATAATGGCCCGCAAATTAATACATCTGGAGGTGAAGCCGGCAATTAAGAAACAAATCATACGCGAATTGAAAGTGTTGCATGAATGCAACTTCCCACACATTGTTGGCTTCTATGGAGCATTCTACAGTGATGGCGAAATCAGTATTTGTATGGAGTATATGGATGGTGGCTCGTTGGATTTAATCCTTAAAAGGGCTGGACGGATACCCGAATCAATTTTGGGTAAAATCACATTGGCTGTGCTGAAAGGACTTATTTATCTACGCGAAAAGCATGCCATCATGCACAGAGATGTAAAGCCAAGTAATATTTTAGTCAATAGCAGTGGTGAAATAAAAATCTGTGATTTTGGCGTCTCTGGTCAATTGATAGACTCCATGGCTAATTCATTTGTGGGCACAAGGAGTTATATGTCGGTAAGTGTCTACATATTTTATTGAACATAAATGTTTTATTAATTTACGTAATGTTCTCTGTTTCAGCCTGAACGCTTACAAGGTACCCATTATTCGGTACAGTCGGATATCTGGTCATTAGGTTTGTCATTGGTTGAAATGGCGATAGGCATGTATCCCATACCACCGCCAGATGCCAAAACTATTGAGGCTATATTCTCCTCCAAAAACGAGGATGGCACACAGACTGTGGTAGAGCCCAAAGTCATGGCGATATTTGAATTACTGGATTACATTGTCAATGAACCCCCACCCAAATTGGAGCACAAAGATTTTAGTGATGAATTTAAAGAATTTGTAGATATTTGTCTTAAGAAAAATCCCGAAGAAAGAGCAGATCTGAAGACCCTACAGGTGAGTACAACATTTTTTTTTTTTGCAAGGCGTTGTAATGACATTGTTTTCTCTCTTAGCATCATCCCTGGATACGTAAAGCCGAAGTGGAAGAAGTGGATATTGCCGGTTGGGTATGCAAGACCATGGATCTGCCACCCTCGACACCGAAACGCAACACTTCACCAAATCAATAAATATTTATTTAACCACGCCCCTTCTCCTACTGATAGTAATCAAAACATTTACTACTAGACTTCTTGTCTGAACAACCGAACACCAGCCATTAACAAACAAAAAAAATATGAAACTTATTTAAATGAAATATATATTAAAAAAAGAAAGAAATATTACATTAAGTATTACGAATAATAACGCAAAGCATATATACATTTCGTGTTTATTCTTTCCGATGACAATTATTAATGTTTGAAGGAAGCTACCTTTATGAAGGTAGCTTGATATGATAACACGGACACTGTGTTTTTTTGGTATAATACGCTATATTTCTGGCATAGTCTAAATTATATAGATTGTCTATTTATCTATTTAAAAAAAGAATTGTTATAATTATAGTTTTATATGAAGTTAGTTTTCTAATTCCAGTTGGATAAGATTAAGTCTCCATCATCTAACTAGAATCTAGTAGAAATATTACGATATTTGTTTAAAATCTTGTGGGGTAGGTCCCAAACGGAGTGGGTCTGTTCCATCTTTATTTCATTTAAAACTTTAATATTCATTTTAAAAATCATTATTTAGTTTTCACATTTGACTCATGTAATGACTTAAAGCAATGCGGTTAATTGTTAGACCATTTTTGTAAGTTATTGATCCTATCAGGCCTAGTCAACATTGAAGCAGCACATGGACTTTATAAAGTGAGAATAAGTCTAGATGTTGACAGAAGGTGCGGACCTTCTATTGGGTTTAGCAAAGTTTGATCAGAACGGAAAATCCTTTTGCAAGATAATTTAAAAATTTGTTTCAGCAAAATGGTGACCTTTAAATTGTACTAGAAGGGGTGGTTTGATATTCCAAATATAAAATATTACGATGTGCAATGTTTGGATTAAATCTGCTTAACAGTTATTTAACAGCAGGACAGTTTTGACTATGAATTTACTGATAAATGAAATTGGAAGAGTTTTGTTTACAAAAAACTTACATTTTCTGGCTCTGGTATGAGTAAAATTGGTATATATGGACTAAATGGACCAGATATGTGGTATAAAGCCCTTATTTCGATCTGGTAATTGTGATTATATCATCATTACAGGTTTAAAATTTCCACAACTATTATGTACCATCACGCTAAATATGATTGCACTTCCTGATCTTATATATAGCCCATATGTTAAGTTATACTAAGAATAAAAATCACTCGGAGGCCCTTGGTCCATTGTGCCATCCGTCATAAATACAAATTGTGGTGTAAGATATAAAAAGTTAGACCAGACAGAAATTAACTACATACTTGTTAAAATTTAAAATAAAATTGGAAATAAATTGGAACAACGATGAAAATGCTGCCAATCAATCGCCGACTTGCGGTATCCCTAATCGGCAATTCTCTACATGCCTCTTTCTCAACAATGCGGTGTCCACTTTGGTCCATCTTTATCGGCCATTTTTTCTATTTCTCCTTCCGTAGCAGTTGGAACGTTTTTAATTTTGTCATGGCATAACTCATATCAAACAAAACAACAAAAAGAAAATTTGCTCGCGATATCAACAACAACATTTGCAACAATTCGCGATATAAACAATTAATCTGCTTAAAAAAGATAATAATAACAAAATTTAATTTTTCTTTCTGAAAAATGTTAATTACAACAACAGCATTCGGTGGAAAACGAAACATTTGGCGTTGCTTGGAAATGGAAATGTAACCGTGACAAACAAGTGCGAATTAAATCGGTCTCCCCCAGTGACCCTCACCCATGGTTTGTTTGTGGTTTGTGAATGCGAAAAAAAAATAAATTAATGGTTCTTGATCGTCGTCGTCGTAGCCTACCACACGCCGCACCAACTACGACGTTCCTCAGCTCCACGGTAAATTGAATATTGAAACAGTGCACTATTGCGGTGGCTGGCGGAGGCAAAGGCCAGGAAAGTGACGGCAGTTTGTCTTTGCCATAGCACACAGAACAGCAACAGCAAACGACGTTGTATTTTCCATCAGTTAGTCTTTGTTTGAGTGCTGGTCGTATTGTAACAACAGAGCGGAAGAGCAGAGCAGAGAGCAGTCTGACTACCAGCACAGAGAAAGAAAATCCACACGAAAACTTTGTTCTGTTCTGTCAGTCACTTAGTCAGTTGGCCAGATCCAGGTGCAGTTGGGGCAACACAGAACAGAGCTTACCACGTACAAGAATGCTGGCTGTACTGGTCAGTTCTTGAAGTTCCTCCAAGGTGACGGGACGACGGTTCAATTAAAAACAAAATTGCATTGTTCGATGTTGCAGTGGAAAAAGGCAACGTTAAAGTAAACAACAGTGAGATTTTTTGTGTCGAATATTTATTGGAAAAAATAAACAAGAAAAACAAAAACACAAATAAACCATAAAAAATAGACAAACGTCAATAATTCTACCGGAAACGCAGTTATAGATAACTTTGGGGTACCCCTCTCGAAACCAATGATTTGTTGATCTCAGTGCATTTAAACTTCTCGTCGTGAGCAAACGAAACAAACGCCGCCGCACCACCATGGCCAACAGCAGCAGTAACACCAACAAAGAGAGTCCCTCACGGGAATCTACAAATTCATCATCCGCCCGCATATCATTACTCACCGATGCTGAATCATTCTCACGCGACTTTAGTTTGGGTAGCCTAAATTCGGCCGTAAGCCAAGATGAGTTCTTCCGTTGTACGGATCATGCGGAGAGTGTCTTGAAGCGAATGCAATTGTATTTGGAAAATCATCAATTGTGTGATGTCGTCTTAATTGCAGGCATAGATGGCAGACGGTAAGTTCAAAAAAAGAAATAATAAAGCCAATAACAATAACCAACAACAACAACAACAAAAGTGGAAAGATAGAAAGTTGTATTTTGCAAAAAAAAAAAAAAAAAAAAAAGAAGGAAAGAAATGGGTCATGATGAAGTATGCAATATATTCAAAGATGATTGAATCTAGAGTGATCAGAGTATAAACAAAGCGCATTTTCTTTATAGTAGAATATCTCATCAATTTTGTTCAAGTTTTTTTGCAGACTGAATCTACTGTTTTAAGGATATAGACTGATTTTTCGGCTTTTTTAAATAAGGGACGGGCGAAATTGGTCGCTATAAACTTTAAATGCCTGATATTTATTTATTTAATTCATTTCGTAATACAATAATGTCGTTATAAACGATTGCGAATGTATAATAACAAGGGTTGTGGAGTTAAGAATCTTGGTCAGATTCCCACTTAGAAAAGATGGGATTTTTGTAATATTTGTTATCAGCAGGATTTACCGGTTCCGATATTTGGAATTTCGGACTTCGGACTTTCATTGATCATTAAGGTCTATTTTGCGCAAATAGACCTTAAGGCTCAACAATTTTACCAATTGTAATTTTTCTGTTGCAACCCTGTTATTGATCAGCTGAGAATTATTCCATGATATCTGGGTACCCCTTGTTTATAATTTCATTAACTCTTATACTGCGTGTCAAAATTCTATTAAGGGAACCCCCCCCATTCTCGATTTTTTATTTTTAAGATTTTAAATGGACTGGTAAATGAATACCAATGCTTGTTAAGGTTTGTAACTTGGCACATATATCTTTGAAGATTTAAAAAGGAAGAAAAATAATTTACCAAAATTTTTTGTTGTTGTTTTTTTGGGTTCAAAGAAAAGTCCACATTTTCGATGGCGGGCACGATAACTCCTCACTGGAACATCGGAATCCGAAAATTCCAACTGTGTTAGAAAGAGGACATGTCTGGCTCTCGTATGAACTAGGATTATTGACTTCGCACAACAATTAACAAAATGGCGGAACTTTGAAATTTTTTTTATGAAAAATCGCCTATTTTTTACCACAAACTAAGTTAAAAAATAAGGAAGATTTTCACCGATTGGCTTTATCCTAGTTCATACGAGAGCTAGACATTCCCAGAGAAACGTGTCAAAATTTGAAACCGATTGGATTATTAGTTTTTGAGTTATCGTGCCCGCCATTCGTTTTGAGAAAAACGCGTTTAAAGTTTGAGAAACCCTTTAGCCGTCACTTGATGCTTACACAATAAATCGGCTATATCTTCAAGAGTTCTTGAGATTTTCACTTGAAATTTTGTAGGAACATTCTAGAATTAGAGTAGGTTCGAATTAAATCAAAAAAATTTTTGACACCGAGAATGGGGGGGGGGGGGTCCCCTTAAATCTATCAATAAAAATAAAGGGGAAACAAAGATACCATCGATCCAAATAAAACGTATCAATTAAATAGTCCACGATGATTCGACAGACTAAATCTAAATTTTGCACATAATTTTTCAAACCTAAACTGATTTTAAAATTAAAAAATTAATTAGGAATGCGGAACTTTTGATTATATTCTAAATTCCTGTAAAATTTTAACCACGATATATATTAAAAAAGTACGTCAGTATCCAGCCTCTATTCAAAATATAATCCTATATACCGTCACTAGATACTTGTAAAAAATTAATGAAATATTTTGGTTTTACATATATGGTTATAATTTATTTCCTGTTCTGAAGATAGAACAAAGAATGCATTGGTCTAAGCATACAACCAAGAATTTCATAGAATGATCTGCCTACAGGATATATCATTTAACAAAGTGTAATAATTAATTATAGCTCATGAATGTATTTCCAGAAGTAACGCCATGTCACAAAACATGGATGCTAGTCAAAGTTGATCTCCTTTGTGTTGCACCAACAACAACAAGGATGACAGAAAAACAAAGAAATTGCAAATTTCTTTGTTGAACCATTGCTACCGCGATCCTTTATAAGTTTCTTTGGAAAAACTATTATAGCAAATCATATCATCTCTCACACTTTACCCCCTCCAACTACATGCTGAGTTTTTCATATTTCCCAGCATGTATTGCAAACGTCGTTTGGCATTTCTTTTATTGTTTTGTCTTTCCGTCAGTTTGCCGCTTGGCTATTAAAACAAACAAATCCATTAATTTCCCACATTAAGAGATTTGCAGCAACAGCCAGAAATCGCCTCAGCATCGTCAACGTCATCTTCATCAGAAGAGCAGCAGCAGCATCTCTTTGTTTTTTGTTATTGTTTTAATATGGAATCTCAAGACACAACTGTAAGTTTCTTTGTTGTTGTTTCTTGCTGGGATTTACTTTTCTTGTTATTGCATCTTGGCTGGTAGAGCTGTTGCTCGGATGCCAGTTGCTGATGCTTTTTTGGTTTGTTTTTTTTTTTTCATTTCGTATCGTATTGACAACAATGAGAAAAAGAGACTACGATCGGTAGAAAGTGAATTGTATTTGTTGTGGCCTGACAATAACGAATAGTGGTACAACTACTACGACGTCAGCTACTGCTGCTGGTGCTGGAGAACTTTGCATGATGCTCAACGCTTGGGGTCGTTCGTTCCGTTGTATTGTTATGGCCGATGATGTTGTACTTGATGTCGCAGTTTTTATTTATTTTTTTGTTTGTGTTTTTGATTGTTGAGACTTATTGCTGTTGCAGACATACGACCAACCAGCTAGATATGCATGCCGCAAATACAAGTACAAACCATTCTCACATATATATGTATATATTGATGTTGTCTGCGTCCGCTGTTGTTGTATGCCACCGCCACCATCATCTATTCCCCCTGTCGTGTTAGGAATGATCAATTAGCTTGTTGTAGTCATCGTCGTTCATTCACTTTATTAATTCTTTGTCGAGAGGTTTTTGTTTTTATTTTTGTTGCTGCTGCTGATGTTGTTCTTTTTTTGTAATTCTTGTAGACAACTTTTGCACATGCTTTTCAAACAAAGACAACCAGTAGAGGTGTACCATCCATACTCCATCCATATAGATGCATTTATGGATATATGTATATTTGTTTATTTATCATAATGGAAATGGTATTGTTGTATTTTTCTGAAAAAAAGAATAAGAATTACATTTGTATGTCAGTGGTAATAAGAAATAATTTTAACAGCTCTAAGATATGAACGATTTTAACTGAAGTGATATGTATATAATTTTTTTTGAAATGTAACATATATTTGTAATTCCGTTTTTTTTTTTGTAAATATAAATATTTATTTATTTCCTAGTATCTATATTTGTCATTTAATAGAATCATATGTTACGCTTTATGTATCGTTTTCAAAGGGATATTTAATATCAACAATGATAGATTGTATTACTATAATGATTTATGAAATATTTTATTTCCGCAACGCCGACTTTTTATTCATTTCATTGTATTTGTCTAGTAACTTCTGAATGCTTTTGTATACAAAAAAATTGGCGATATGATATAAATAACAATAATTTGTTGCACTGTTTGACTGACGAATATATTCCACATACTCGGGCAATGTGGTATGATTTGTATTATTTTCGAAAATACTATTTAATGTTAAATTTTGTTTTTTTTTTATAAGGGAAAATCCAATTTTTTCCAAGAAAAATATGTAATTCTTAAGAGATTTATGTTTGATGGCAGGAAAATAGCGGATCTATAGTCAATCTTTAAAGATCGTAAATTGCTTTAGCTTAGTTTTATATTTATAACTGAAAGAGTTTAGTGTCTTAAAAGTAGTACTGGATTGATGTCCTATGGTTTTGTTAAAAATATGTGGAAAAATTTGCAACACATCCAGAAAGTATCCAATTGTATTAGGCATACGATAATATAATTGAGTTAGTGTAGATTCCACTGCCGTGAGAAAGGTTGATAGTATTTATAAATATTAAGACTGACCCTTATATGACGTTTACTTCTGAACTATCAGGTCTAGTTTAGCCAAAAATAAAGTAAATTTTATAATTATCAGAACCTTCGAAAATCTTGAGGCAATTGTTTTATCTTTTGTAGAAACACAATGCAACAGGTGAATGTAGGATTGTTTTTCTTCATATTCAAATATTTCTTCTCCAAAATATTAATCAAACTCTGTCACAGGGTCTCATCGAATCTAATGGATTTTCTGAGAGATCAACGGCAACCCCATCTGTAATCTGTGTCGTATAAATGCTACAGTACTTATACGCCACCAGTTCATTCAAATGTATTTTAAATGTTTATATTCCTGACCGTGGTTCTTAAGGCGCATACATAACATCATACTCATACGTCACAACGTGCATAGCATGGGAATCTGAATATCTTTTTTTAAGGAGATTCAACCCATTTATTTATTGTTCTTTTTATTATCCTTTTATTTAATTAATCATTTAATTTATCTTTTACTTCATCTAGAGTGCCTGCACATCGTTTAGTATTATCCGCATCGAGTGCATATTTTTCAGCTATGTTCACAGGATCTCTGAGAGAAACAAAAGAAGAAGAGGTAACACTGGGCGAAGTCCATGGTGATGCTTTGCAAATATTGGTGCAGTACTGTTACACCGGATTCATAGAGCTGAGAGAAGATACTGTCGAAACCCTTCTCGCCACCGCTTGTCTATTGCAATTGAATGCCGTTGTCACTGCCTGCTGTAATTTTCTCGCCCGACAATTACATCCCTCTAATTGTTTGGGATTTGCATTTTTTGCCGAACAACAGAGCTGCAATACATTGTTGCAGTTGGCCACAGCCTACACATGTCAGCATTTCATGCAGGTGAGATAAGATAACGGAATTTATTTGATTTGCAATTATTGAGATTCATATTTTGTTTTTTCTTTATATAGGTTTGCAAAAATCAGGAATTTTTCCAATTGAATGCCGATCAATTGGCCAAATTGCTGGCAAGTGATGATCTCAATGTTCCATCGGAACAGGATGTCTTCCATAGTCTAATGTCATGGATACAACACGATCCGAATAATCGTGAAAAACACATTCCCGAATTATTGGCATTGGTAAGACTGCCTCTTTTACCGCCATCATTCATAATGGATCATGTTGAGAGTGTTTGTGCCTCAAATGAATGCCAACAATTGGTAATGGAGGCTCTCAAATGGCATTTACTACCAGAACGAAGATCTCTCATCTCATCGGAACGCACAAAACCTCGAAAGTCAACAGTAGGTAGGCTGTTGGCAGTTGGTGGAATGGATGCCCATAAGGTAAAGGTAGATATTATTGTGAATACGGTCATAAGTGGTGATTGGAGAGATGTAACATAATTGCAGGGTGCCATTAGTATAGAAAGTTATTGCCCACGTCTGGACAAGTGGACTGCATGGAAAAATATGTCAGCCAGACGTTTGCAATTCGGAGTGGCTGTTATGGATGATAAGCTGATAATAGTGGGTGGCCGTGATGGCCTTAAAACCCTCAACACTGTGGAGAGTTTGGACTTGAATACCCTAGCATGGACACCATTAAATCCAATGGGAACACATCGTCATGGTTTGGGTGTTGCTGTACTGGAGGGACCATTGTATGCTGTTGGCGGTCATGATGGTTGGAGCTATTTAAATACAGTTGAAAGGTGAGGAAGAAAACTTATGTATCAATTGAGAGAGCAATAAAATTCGGTACTAGAATAATATAATTATAAAAATGTTGAATTATTATGCAGTTTATGTTAAGAGCGTATAAAAATCGAATTTTTGTACTGTAATGCATTTGAAATCATTAAATATAATGGTAATCCTTAAACTTTACATTTCAGATGGGATCCTGTGGCCCGCACTTGGAGTTATGTAGCTTCTATGTACTCAATGAGATCTACAGCGGGAGTTGCTGTGTTGGGTGGCCGTTTATATGTTGTGGGTGGACGTGACGGGTCTGTGTGTCACAGATCAATTGAGTGTTATGATCCTCACACAAATAAATGGACAATGCGTGCACCCATGAATAAAAGAAGAGGTGGAGTGGGAGTAAGTATAATTATTTCTGCTTTAATTTAAGATTTCTTGTGAAAATGATAATAATTTATATAATTACGTGGTAATCTATGATAATAAAATTCCAATATTTCCTAAAAAAATTGGACAAAATTTATGTGGGAAGAGAAATTGAAATATTGAGACAATTTATTTTGATATCTCATAGAAGAATTTATTAATTTATTAATAAACCAGTGAGCGGAGCAGTATAGTCGGACGGGGCCGACCATGCGATACCCTACACAACTACCACGAACTCTAACTTTCTGAGGATGTTTATTCCGAGTCTGAGTAATATTTCGTGATATTTGGCCCCTCTTGTCCGATTAGAGGTTAACAACACCACTTCCTTACTTTTTTCGAATATTCAGTACAGTCCTTCTAATTACTTGTCCAGATTACCTTCACGGTGGGTTGTGTTGTGATTTTTGGATTATACTCTACTCGAAAACACACAAAAAATTATGTTTTCGGTCCATTTCATCCCAAAATTTTAATCTGATCATCACCGAAAATTGTAGGCGTTGTTCTTGACCATAACTGGAACTTCATGAAAAATGTCAAAGCCATCAGCGCGATATTTCTCCCTCTAATGTGGTAATGGGTTACTGAATAATATCTGAATACGTAAGCACCTGTAAATATTTGACTGTAACTCCCACATCTGAGTAGATACATCACTATATTTGGTATCAATTTAAAGGCCAACCTGACTTTTGGATATGCTATCAACTCCTGGGGTCTACATCCTCCAGGAGTAAATATGTATGCCATAGAATACAAATTTTGTCATTTTTCACACAAAAGTCAGGGTCCATTTGACCCGCTAAATATTGATCTTTATCAAAACATGCATGCTTATTCTCTGACCCGATCCCCTTCTCCATGCAAAAATTCGCGGTGTTTGGGCCATAATTGCGGCCTCTGGAACGACCAGAAAAACCGACAAAAATTTAGTATTTGGTCCATTTCATCCCCTAAATATCAACCGATCTTTTCCAAAAACAATAGGGGTCTTCATTGGCCAGAACCCATCCTACATGCATACATTTCGTGAAGATTGGTCCATAACTGTGGCCTGTATCGTGTTTACAAATTATAATGGACAGACGGACGGACGGACACACATGTCTAGATCGACTCAGCTAGTCGAGATATGACGATCGGTATACTTAAAGGTTGGTCTAGGACCAATATTTCGCGGCGTTACAAACATTTGGGGCTGCACAAAGCTATAATACCCTGACAACATAGTTGTGTAGGGTATAAATAGTTTATTAACGTGTTGTATATTTGTTTTCTTTTCAAGGTTGCTGTAGCTCATGGTTTTATTTATGCATTGGGTGGTCATGATTGTCCCGCCAGCAATCCATCTGTATGTCGTACTGATACCGTTGAACGGTATGATCCTAGCACTGATACCTGGACTCTAGTAAGTAAACATTAATTAAATCTGGATTTTCAGTTGTCAATTCTCATACAAATTGAGAATGGCTATAAATACGATTATCTATCATAAATCAGGACTGAATACATTTCTACTGTGCTATAATAAATATCTTCCACAGATTTGTTCCTTAAGCATTGGCAGAGATGCGATTGGTTGTGCATTACTGGGAGATCGCTTGATGGCTGTGGGTGGTTACGATGGCAATCATTATTTGAAAACCGTTGAAGAATACGATCCAGAGGCCAATGAATGGACCCAAGTATCACCACTAACCTACAGTCGGGCAGGTGCCTGTGTGGTGGCCATTCCAAATATAATTCCTTCGACACCACCGCTTGCCAGTTCAACAGTTTAGTGGATTATTTTGAATTTTTATTTCGTTTTTTTTGTGTATCGAACTGTTAACATTATCCCGTGTCTTTGTCTCTATATGCCTGCCTGTCTGTCCACCAACCTTACTGTCTGTTTATATAGCCATCATAATATTAAAATCAATCAATCTATCAATCTGGCGAGCATGTAAAGTTCCACAGAACAATGTTTTGGTGTTGTTGTTTTCCCCATAAGACATACCGGCCATTGACCCGCTCGCTCACTGTTGGTTGCTTTCCTATTTTATTACATAGCACCGCTGTTGCTTTCGTATCAATATCTACATATATATTTTTGTAACACTGTATTTGGCATGTCTTGCTTTAGGTGCTTTCTTTTTGCAGACCACTCGAAATGGACAAAAGGACATAAAAACAAACATTCCATCATTGTGTTTATATATTTATTGTTAATGAATGTATATAACCCGAGTTATCATCCCCACTTCAAATCCAATCCAACTTTATATATTTAATATACATTGTTTTTACTTTCCTTTCTTGTATTTTTTTTCCGTATTCTACTCCAATTTTATTTGTAATTCATTAGAAGGTATGGAAACCAGTGAGATTGAACCCCATTTGCTACCGCCGTAATGTGGAATTTGTGGATTATTATCATCTATAAGAATGTGAATAGTTTTTTCACTTGCAACTGATATTTTTCTAAAATTTTATCTTAGTATTAGCCCAAGAGCATACGTATTATATTTATAGCAATATATCAAAACAAAAAATGATATTTTATAATTTTAATCTTTAAATTTAAATAAATGAAAGCACACACGCATACAATTATTATTATAGAAGATAACGAACGAACGTTATACACGGAAATGAAGATGTTTATATTTTATTTTTATTTTGGGGAAAGGAAAATTATGTTTAACATTGCTAAATCTGAAAATAATGAATAATAGTGGAATGTAAAATGATGAATATGTATTATATATATATATATATATATATTAAATTAGAGCGAGATACATGTTAAAAGTTTTTTTTTCTCTGACAATTTATTTTATTTATTTCTTTCTTTCAAAAATGCAATTTGAAGCCTCAAAGGCCGATTTTAGATAAATTGCAAACCATACTACTCCATGTAATAATTAAATCTTAATGACTATCAGCCTTATTCTGGATATTTGCTAGGGAGATATCTCGCATGTAAAAAATTTTCGCTTTCACATTCTCGCCTTATTCTGAATGAATAGGGAGTAGCAAAAAATGCGAGATGCGGATTCGAGTTTTCGAAAATGGCGGTGGAAAAAAAGATTCGTCTTGCCATATCGTAAATTACGTTGCAATGTGTGTGGCCATGTTGTAAATTAAGTTGCAAAGGCAAAAACACAACGAATAATAGGAAGAAATCTGCGATTTAATTAATTAATTCACAGTTTATTATTTCACTACATAATTGTGTGCCTTTTATTTAATTCCGATATTTTATCTCCCCAAATTCTTAAAGTGGCCTGTTGTTATGATTTGCTTTAAAAAAAATTGTTCTTTCATAATTTTTATATAAGTTTTTCACTTTTAAGCGGCTCATCAGGCAAATTTGGGTTTTCCAAAATTTATAAAATTTTTTTCTTGAGAGACAGATCCTCACCCAAAATGTCTGTATTTCGCCTCCAAAATGCATCGAACTCGACTTAAATATTCCTTATTACCTTCATACATTCCTTGCCAATACTTGGTTCAGCATGCATCGTTATCAATAGGATTTCCAATGACATTTTATTGGTTGTTTTCCAGTTAAAATTAGCTTACTATCATTTATAATATTCTAAATCGTCATAGAATAAGTATTGTGTAAATATTTTTCATAAAAATGGTTATTACATATGTTTTTGTAGTCAACTCCCTTTAAATTTATTAGCGTAAAATTTCGCACAAAATTTCATCTCATTCTCCTACTCCCTGTAATTCAGAATACCTAATTTTTCCCCAAAGCGGGTTTTTTCGCTTTCGAACTTCATTCAGAATAATGCGAAAACGAGAATGCGAAAAAATTCACAGGAAAATGTTGTTCAGAATAAGGCGAAGGGAAAGAGCGAGTAAATTCACATGGAATTGACATCCAGAATAACGAACGAACGTTATACACGGAAATGAAGATGTTTATATTTTATTTTTATTCTGGGGAAAGGAAAATTATGTTTAACATTGCTAAATCTGAAAATAATGAATAATAGTGGAATGTAAAATGATGAATATGTATTATATATATATATATATATATATATTAGAGCGAGATACATGTTAAATTTTATTTTTTTTTTGTTTCTCTGACAATTTATTTTATTTATTTCTTTCATTCAAAAATGCAATTTGAAGCTTCAAAGGCCGATTTTAGATAAATTGCAAACCATACTACTCCATGTAATAATTAAATCTTAATGACTATCAGCCTTATTCTGGATATTTGCTAGGGAGATATCTCGCATGTAAAAAATTTTCGCTTTCACATTCTCGCCTTATTCTGAATGAATAGGGAGTAGCAAAAAATGCGAGATGCGGATTCGAGTTTTCGAAAATGGCGGTGGAAAAAAAGATTCGTCTTGCCATATCGTAAATTACGTTGCAATGTGTGTGGCCATGTTGTAAATTAAGTTGCAATGGCAAAAACACAACGAATAATAGGAAGAAATCTGCGATTTAATTAATTAATTCACAGTTTATTATTTCACTACATAATTGTGTGCCTTTTATTTAATTCCGATATTTTATCTCCCCAAATTCTTAAAGTGGCCTGTTGTTATGATTTGCTTTAAAAAAAATTGTTCTTTCATAATTTTTATATAAGTTTTTCACTTTTAAGCGGCTCATCAGGCAAATTTGGGTTTTCCAAAATTTATAAAATTTTTTTCTTGAGAGACAGATCCTCACCCAAAATGTCTGTATTTCGCCTCCAAAATGCATCAAACTCGACTTAAATATTCCTTATTACCTTCATACATTATTTGACAATATTTGGTTCAGCATGCATCGTTATCAATAGGATTTCCAATGGCATTTTATTGGTTGTTTTCCAGTTACAAATTTGCTTATTACCATTTATAATATTCTAAATCGTCATAGAATAAGTATTGTGTAAATATTTTTCATAAAAATGGTTATTACATATGTTTTTGTAGTCAACTCCCTTTAAATTTATTAGCGTAAAATTTCGCACAAAATTTCATCTCATTCTCCTACTCCCTGTAATTCAGAATACCTAATTTTTCCCCAAAACGGATTTTTTCGTTTTCGAACTTCATTCAGAATAAGGCAAAACGAGAATGCGAAAAAATTCACAGGAAAATGTTGTTCAGAATAAGGCGAAGGGAAAGAGCGAGTAAATTCACATGGAATTGACATCCAGAATAAGGCTGTATATCTTATAAAGGTATGATAATCCGAACATATAATATTATGAAGTTTTTTAAATGACTACATACATATTCATTATGAAGCAAGTAATAACGTAATATACAAGATCGAATTTGAAATTTGTGTGTTTTAAAAGTATGTTACAATATTATCAAATAGAAAACTGAGAGCTACCAATTCATAGTGGTAATTTGGCTTTCAGTCGAAGTCATTTATTACGACGGTCAAATGATCCGCGAAATTGGCCTCTATAAAGACTAACATATGCTACTGTACAAACATTCAGGTGTTTATCTTAATATGAGCCATCACCTAAACTATAAAGATATGAAAAGTGTACCAAAACTGAAAGTAATATTGGATTTTGATGTTGTTGTGATAGAAAGGAAGTTGAGAGGGAAAATTTTTATGGAAACTCATACTTAAAGTATACGAAATTTCGTAAAGCAATTATTATTCGAAGAGTTCTAAATGGATCTAAATGTATTGGAAGCATAGATACAGATTCATTAAAATATTAGTGTGTACAGTTTAGATAAAAATAGACTTCAAACATAATGTGTAAGTGGTACTAAATTTAGTTCATCAGCAGAACAATAACTTTGGCTGTAACGTCAGCTCTTGTGTATACATGGAAAATATGACTCCTCTACAAAAAATCACAACCGAAGTTGGGTGTCCTGTATAGCAACTAGAAAATCCGACAACAAAAAAAGAGTTGTCTTTTTTAAGATTCGTGTATATTGGGGTATAACTGCGGCCTTCGATTTCAAGTTGCACTAGATGAACGTACCTGCATAGCTAGATCGAGGCTGATATTATGATCGTTGTAATAAAGGAAATCGTTAAATCGAATAAACTTAAATCTGCCTAATAATTTTTGTGGATTTCGTAGTCTAACTGCACTTCATGATCAACAAATAAATTAATGTAATAACGGCATCCAGTAGTTATTTTTTGTTGCTTTTTTAAATATGGCAACTGTAATATACGAATAATCGGCAATATCAGATGCTGTTACGTTTATATTGTAAAACTCATTATAACTACTTTTTAATTTTATTTTAATAGATTTTATTATTCATCAGTTAAATCACGACGCGACGCCCACAAAATACGCTAAAACTTTTTATGTGTTTCGAGATGGCAACGCCGATAGTTTTTACGTTAATTCTACTTTATTCTATATTCCATTTTTCGTATAATTTCCAGGTTTGTTATTGTTCTCGGTGTGTCATTCACTCTCTCTGAGAGTTGCAATATTCTCACACGTAATCGGCGGCAACCTCTTTCGATTCATGACCAAATAGTCCAACAAGTTGCTGCTGGTGATTCTGTTGTGTTCACACCGTTGCGGATAACACTTCGAGCGTATTTTGTGTTTCGTATTCGTGTGCGACAATATATCGTTTACTGTGCATTTAAATTTTCAAATAAAGTACAAACAAATATTTTACAATTTTCGTTGTTGTTTTTTTTTTTCAAACGAAGACATTCTTTTAATTGTTTTGTGTTTATTACACCGTCTGTTTGTCTACGCGCTAATTTTTACGCTAACTAGAATTTCTTTATATACGTATATCAAAGACAACAAAAACATAGCAGCTGTTATTCAATACAAAAAAAAGAGTAGAAAAGTGTTTGCAATTTGTAGCCAAGAGTGTTTCTGTTTGAATGTGAAATTCATGATATCAAATCAAAATCAAATAATAGATGAAAGCAAAGCAACTACGAAATTGCTAAAGCAGTAAGACAAACCCTAATGAAGCACCCACAACCACCCATACACACCTCGAGATTCATCATCTAAAACTACAACAACACGGAGAGTAACATTGCAGATTTGTGGTTGTAGTGTGAACATCATCGTAACAGTAACAACAACAAAATAACAGTCAGAATAATAATTCATTATTGAGATATTCTGTCATCATCGCCGTTTCGTTATCATCATCGTTTTCGTGTGTGCAGTGTATTTACTAGAATTTTTTGGTGTTTAACTTTTATTTTTATCAGAGCTTGAAGCTTAAACAAAAAACAACAAAAGTAACTACGACACAAACAACGATAAAAACAGCAACAAAATGACGGATTTAAACGAATTGATGGGATCTGCTTTTGTGCGCGTAAAGGTAAATTTAATTATTAAACTTTCTTCGATTGCAGTTGGTGCTTGACGATTGCCTCAGTTTATTGGGAAATAATTGTATTATCTATTTTGACTGATTGCTAGACAATCACTACTGCCTAGGTGAATGATTGATGTTGGGTTGGTTTTTCATTTAGCACATTTGGTTTGGTAACGAACGTGAGGTGGCAATGGAGTAGATTTAACTTTTCGTTTTTGAACTCCATGATTAGCAGTTTTGGAGTTAGGTAGATTTATTTTAAAAAGGAGAATGCATTCGAAATTGTGAATGTGAATTTGTTAATCTAAAATTCTAACATATTTCGAAACAGCTCGCAAAAATTTGAAATGCCTAAAATTTTCCACTTTTCGGACATCACAAAATTTGACGAGTACTCAAAATAGTTGTCTCGGTTGAAGAAATTAAATTTTCTCATATTGATTGAGTCACGAAACAAGTAAAAGTGGTGAAATTAACTTAAATAAATAGTACCACTTCTATTGGGAATGTACTCAAAATTTAGACAAATATTGAAAACATGGCATAACTCTAGCTCATAAAACGCTCAATTTTTATAAACTCTGCCTTATGGCTAAGAGGTAAAAACATTTTCGAATTCTTGTGCCCTATTTATGGTGATCTTTATTTAGAGGGACTATTATTTTTTTGACAGGAAGTACTGGTACCGGTCTATATCCCATTTTACGGAGCCGATCAATACAAAGTTGGCATAATTTTAAAGATTATGAAAATACATCATCCATCACCAACCATGTAGATCCAAATGATAGCACACACTTTGCGCTCTCAGAAATTCTGTGACTGTATCTGCTTAGGATCAAAAGATATGGCCTTAAATCCTTGAAAGATTTTATCCCCTGGAGGATTTTTTCTCTTCCGAACACCTGCTGCTCCATTAACTATTTTTTCAAGATTCAAAATTTCGGTTAGTAAATTTTTAGGGTCAAATAATCGGGTAACCCCCAGAAAAAATATATCCCTATAAATAGGACAAAAAAAGTACCTACTTCTGTAATCTTTTAATACAAATACTGTTTTTTACTAAACAAGACTGTTCCAAAATCATTCCCAAGAAGAGTTTGGTAAGTTTTACCTGCTTTTGAGTACGGAATCAGACAATTTGTAATTCGGTTAGATTGGAAGGTATTGTATGTTTGTGCCCCAAGAATTTGGTCCTAGATCCACATTCATATCTCGTGTGTGTATTTAATCAAACGATATTATTATTAGACGACTCTATACCTCAAGGGATTAATGAATACAAATTCTACTATTTTCTCCAAGAATGGCAAAATTTTACAATGCTAATTATAAAATAAACATATGATTAAAAAAACAGTTAATTGGACTTGCAAATTTTTACTTGCCTAGTATCTCTTGTAATCTCTCTTGAAATTTATATGTATCCCCATAAATACCTTCATCTGAAATTCCAAGATTTTTTACTTCCGCAATTTTTGTCTGGACGTAGATGAAGAATCTATTTTAAAATGCCAACGTCCCAAATTCCGAAGATCATCTTCTCTGACCATAAAATTAAGCGGCCACTTACTGACAAGACAAAACGTTTATCAGATTTTCTTTTTTTTTTTGGTTCGTTTTACTTTTCCTTGGTCTATTTCACAAAAACAAAGATCATTGCAATGCATTGACTTGTTGCTAAAATTAACAAAAAGAACAGCAAGTACGACGACGACGACCGCAACACCAACAAAAGTCGCTCGATGTTTTTATGCTCCCCTGGTGACCGGCAGGCATGCTCCTATATTCAACACGCCCCTAAAATAGATGATGCCATTTAAACTTGACATGTTGATGCTGCTGTGGTTGCTGTTGTTGTTGTATTCCTCAATTTGCCGAAATTGACAAAATATGTTCGTTCTCGATTGTCGTCGTTGTTATTGTCAATTTGTTGTTCTGTTCTGTTTTGGTGTATGGCGATTAACGAAATCCCCAGCCGAATTGTGAAAAAAATGAAAAAACGACCCCCACGTTTAAATTGCTCACAGTCAACCTGATTTTACTTTTGGGTCATTCGCTTCTTTTAATTGCGTGTAAAACAACAACAATTGTTGAACGATAAACAAAATCTATGAACAAATGAGTATCAATAGGGATGCCAGTGCAGAGGCAACTATTTGGAGATCATTACGATAAATTAATAAATACATTTTTTACACATTTTAAGATGTGAAAAATCATAAAAGAAATCTGAAAATGGAACATGGACGTGCAGATACTTTCATTTTCTTGGCTTTAAATACATTTTTTGAGGACTTTTTCTGAAAAATAGTGGCAAAGTAGTATCTCTCGTCAAGTGGAATAATGCTAATATTATGTGCAAATAATTCAAAATCTTGTTTGCATTAAAATTTTATTAATATAGTTTGTTTTTATTTAACAACAAAACAACCTTGATATTATCACAACACTATTTATAAAGCGTGGGCCAGTCATTATAAATTGTTTAAATATTAGCAAAAAATATGGGAAAACTTTGATTTTTTCTATCACGACACTTTAATTTCGACGATAATTTAATTTATTAGCATGAATAAAAACATGTTTTCTATTTCATTAGAATCTGTCTAATGTGGAGTTTTTCCGATACTTTTCTTTAAATATTAAACTAATCTCTATTAATGAAGTTGTAATATGGAATTTCAAATTGTGTTTTTTAAACGTCCAACCGAAGTTGTTGTATTTTAGTGCAGGGTATAAAAAGTTTCATGCTTATGTTTTAAATTTTATTTACAAATAGTCCCATTAAACCCCTTTCAATGTCTATACTCAAGGGTCCCCTTTAAGGATTCAAAAAAAGTGGAGTATATATTAAATTTATCATTCTGTTTGCAACAACTCGATATATTCACCGAAGACCCCATTAATTATATATTCTTATATGAAATCATATGTGAAATAAACAATGTTGGTCTGTCCGCTTGTTAAAAATCCAAAGTACAGCTCGCAATATTTGAGCTCATACAATGATACTAAAAAATGAGAAAGGTGGTTTTTGCAAAATAGTCAGGCTGAATCCCAGTTTGTTGTTTTTATAAAAAACAACTATTTTTTAGTGAAAATCTCAAGAAGTCTTGATGGTAAAGCCGATTTATTGTGTCAGCATCAAGTGACGCAAGAGTGATTCTCGGGCACTCAAAAACTAAACAAATTATAACACATTATTTTTATTTTAATTTTAAAAGAAAAAGAACAAAAATATAAATTTAAATGTGAATTTATAAACAAAACAAAATTTTCTTTACTTTAAAGTGATTTCATATGTTTTAAGGGGACCCCACCCATTCTCGATTTTAATTTTTCAAGATTTTCAATGGGCTGGTAAATCAGTACCAATGCTTGTTAAGGTTTGTAACTTTGCACATATATATTTGAAGATTTAAAAGAGAAGAAAAATAATTTATAAAAAGTTTTTGTTATTGTTTTGTTGTTGTTTTTTGTAATTAAAGAAAAGTCCTTATTTTTGATGGCGGGCATGATAACTCCTCACTGGAACATCGGAATCCGAAAATTCCAACGGTGTTAGAAAGAGTACATGTCTGGCTCTCGTATGAACTAGGATTATTGACTTCGCTCTAAAATTAACAAAACGGTGGACCTTTGAAAAAATATTTTTGGAAAATCGCCGATTTTTTACTAAAAACCAAGTTAAAAAATAAGGAAGATCTTCACCGATTGGCTTTATCCTAGTTCATACGAGAGCTATACACTCCCAGAGAAACGTTGCAAAATTTGGAACCGATTGGATTATTAGTTTTTGAGTTATCGTGCCCGCCATTCGCAAAAAAATGTTTAGAGAAAAACGCGTTTAAAGTTTGAGAAGCCCTTCAGCCATCACTTGATGCTGACACAATAAATCGGATATATCTTCAAGAGTTCTTGAGATTTTCACTTGAAATTTTGTAGAGACATTCTTTAATCAGTGTAGATTCGAATTATATCAACAAAATTTTTGACCCTTAGAATGGGGGGCCCCCTTAAGTGAAAAGTTTTGATAAAAAACATTTATTTTCGTTTTCGGAAGAAGCTAAATACGGAATTAATCCCACTTTCCATCGGAATTGATTTCTGTGCCATGCCTGTTTATTTGTCTACGTATGTGTGTCATTGATACAGACAATTTAACTATGTATTCTGATTGGAAAAAAATAATACCGTTTTATTAAAAAAGAGAAAACACGGAAAACTCTTCCTTGTAAGAAAAGTTATTAGGTCACTTCTAGGAGGAATGACAAAAGACATTATCTAATTGAGAGAGCCAGTTGTATAGGAGGCGTTCTCAAATAGAAATATCCACAATTGTCTTATTTTAGTAACCATAATAATATTTCAATTTATTAAAAATCTTACATTAAAAATAAAAGGTATGAAATCGCCATCCCTATTGCATTCAACAGCTAGCTATGTGATCTCATTGTGAAACACAAAAACAAAAACTGCATTGTTCATCGAAACAAACGTACGTGCAATTATTTATGGGGTAGTGAGGGGGTCCAATTACGATCTTACATATTGGCTGTGTAAATATTCCGAAAATACTATACTCATATAACATAGGAGTGAATAAATGCGTGTTTGGTGATAACTTCATGATGCATAGAATTTCTTATCAGAAATTTAGTGGGCCTATCGTATAATACCCTGTATTGTTTTATAATTATGTACTATGTACTTCTACTGTATTTCAAAAAGAAAGTAATTGATGTCTTTGGGCGATAATGTGAACATCAAATCTAGATGACACATTTCAAAAAAATAGTCAACATTTATTAGAGTTTAATGAGGATAACACGTTGTTGTATTTAATTGCTGTCTGTGCTCTATTAACAGAACAAACATTGATGTCGACATAAACACATATGTTATAAGTATGTAGAACTATTTTTTTTTGTGCACCATAAAATTGTTTATTGAAAGTAGTAATTTGCTTTGTGGGTAGTTTGAAGAAGAATAAGTGGTTC